AATTGTCTGTCACTCAAAATGCATTGGATTTATTTCATTTCATATTGTTTCAAGTATCTAATCAAGTTACAGTGAGTCCCATTCCATACTCGAGTATAAGTGCGCAAATACCTTCCTACCTCCCGCTAAGAATATTTCGAAGGAAATAGAAGGATACTACTTTGAAGTAGGCAGTATCGGGACATGCTTCTTTTGCATGTCAGATATTGCTTCGAACGAAATGCGATTGGTTGATATGGTATGAAGCAGAGATACTCTTCAGCGTCAAGTAACACACTTTGAAGTCATAATCACGAACAGTTTGCCTATGCCATGTGTTTATACAGCTTAAGCTCTTGAAATAATATCGACCCAGCTGGTATACATACAGACTCTGTTCCGTCCTCAGACAAAACTTCGATGGGAATTTCGTCTCCTCTCCGAAGTGCCGCTTTTAATTATCTCCTTTTCCTTATTTCACTTTACTAAACACTCGTTGTCTCTTTTTATCTCCATTTAAATAGTTATATTCAGTCTGTTTCTAAAATTTATACCCACCATTTTAGAATTCTTTCAATTCCATGGAGTTTTCCAGTTATACTACTCACGCTTATTAGTAATGACATTATCTCCTTTGTCGATATGTGCCTCTTGATATTTCATTTCACATGTTGATTTATTTCATGATGGAGTATTCCTCGCAGTCTCAGCATCTCTACTTTAATGCCCACAGTTTTGTCAGCAATTGAGTATAAGCCACATGAGAAATGTAAAGTGACACTTCAGTTTAATACAATCGATCAGGGGAAACTAGGATGGTGAATTCAAATTCGTTCACTTCATATTGACCTATGAGCTGAAGACGTTGTCTACAAGGATAATAATAAAACAATCAAGCTCAGAGAATTCAGCTGCATCCAGTTAAGCCACATATCTACTTACTCTATGATTTCAGAATTCATCTAATTTCAACTCAAAATAAGTGATCTCATATTCGGCGGAACACTAACACGTTGTTTAATTGAAAAATGATTCAAATACCAACCGCATTGGAGTGATTATTTTAGCATCCGATATGCATGACATTGTTTACAGCGAATTGTTTACTTTTATTGTATTCATGCATTCAATTCATCCCTGGCTAAAACACTGCTCATACTTGAACCTTTCTTCTTACACTGTCTCAGGTATTCCCCTATACTGGTATTTTTATGGTGACACCAACTATCGCCATTACCTTATAAGTGTTGCATTGATAAGGTGAATATAGCCACAGCGAACAATTCCATGAGACTTGCTGAATTTTCTTTCAGTTAGAATACAGAAAATTGTTCTGACATCTTGTGGTTTATGCTGTGCATCCGTGTTCAGCGGTGAACATGCCTCATGTGATCCAGTATGTGACTCCCAACAGGCACACATTATTACCCGTCCTAGTTTGCGGTTAACCTACTGTACAGAGGAGGATGAGTGTGAGGCTAACAAACTCACGCTAGGAAGGTATAACTACCGTTACCAAACGTCCGAGCTCTAGCTTGACGTCCTATGTCCCACTAGTAACGCAAAGGAATAGAGGCTTCAGAGCGTCTTCTACGAACACAAAACCTTCGTGTGTCATCCATATTTCTTCGTCATTTGCATAATCATTCTCCTGTTTCTGTCTTTGGAAAGCTGAGGTCAACTTTATGAATATTCCTTAATCTTAAGGTGTTGGTCTGCTGGGACAAGCACTTGCCAGCGATGATATTGTCTAGTTGTTGCACCATATTGTCAATTGGTGGATTTCGGATGTCATTGACCAACGATTGGACCAGTTTATAGTGGCTTAATGATGCACGAATTGGCCTTGTCATTCAAAAAGCCCTGAGTTCCAACCCTGGTGGTGTGTGTGTGCTGTGATGAGTTCCACACCAAAACGAAACATCTGGTTGACCAGCACAACCCATTACCTTTTTCAGTGGTATGTTTCTGACCAACTATGATGAATTCACTACATTTGCGATTCCATGACCCTTTCAACACTACATAACTTAGTGTATAACCTTGACATAAAGCTACGGAAATTACATTTGTCGTCGATGAACTGTGCGTTCTTGAATTATTTCAGATAGAATATTTTCAAACAAATGAAATTTTATCTATTTATATATATTTTTTAAAAGGCAACTTGGTACACTTTTATTTCCCAGTCCTGAGATGTTGGCTAGACTCTGAGACTGAAGCGAGTGGTTAACTTAAGGGGCTTCATCCCGGGCACTTCACTTGAAATTTGATCCACAAGTCAGTTGAGCACCGCTAACAGCTAGGTTATCATGATCGTCAGCAAACAAAACATATAACACGCTTTTCGTTGTATTCGCATTCTAGAGAGATTTTGCATCGCTCTCGTGGTAGACCAGCATCTTTACACGTCTGAGTGTAAGCACTAAAAGATTCGCCACAAAACCTTTCACTTTTGTAAGGAGAAGACTTGCTACGTGAAGGTAGTTGTATCCGGATATGCAGAGAATTGTACTAGTGCATGTAAACTGCAGTTTGTCACTGGTAGAGATATTCTCGTCTGACGCAGATACTATGTGAATGACTGACACTTTATGTTCAAAACAGGATACATCGTTTTTGACTTGATCAATGAAATACTCAACTATTCTGGTCGGTTTTATGGGTGTTCTTTCTATTATTTTTATATCTTTGCATATTTTTGATTAGATTCCACTAAACATGAACAATTGGTCTTTTAGCGTGAACTTTAAATGAGGGTTACTGTAATCATAGAAGGTACAGACATAGAAGAAACACCTTTTCATACTCATCGTATTTGTTGGTAAAGATATCCATGAAGTATGACATAATCTGCTTCCCATCAAAAATTCATATCACCCTTCATTTCACGGAACATACATACTTGGTCATAGGAGTTGTTAAGAAGACAATTGCAGCGAAGGAAATTTTCTTTTCGACGAAGTCAACGTCAGCTAGGCTGAACATTCGCGTATTTATTTCAGATGGATGGAAAATTTCCAGAATCATTTCCGTTTAAGGGTCAAATTAATAAAAATTAAAATTAGGGATTAGAATGCCATAATAAACAGGGGGGTGGGTGGATAAAACAAACAAAGTAGTATCATAATAACTAAGAAGATTGACATTGTGCAGTTAGGGATTAGAAATGTAGAAATAACAAAATAGACAGGGTGTTTGGACAAAAAACTAATGTAAATGAATAATTGCTTATGCAATCGAGGATTAAATATGTAGAAATAGTAAAATGACAGAATAAACGCGAAGTTCGGGTATGAAAATTTGGTAGTGTAAACAAGGATAAAAAAAAGCTTAAAAAAATAGCATGAATAAACAGGACGTTTAGATAAGAAAGGCGATGGGATTGTCTTGCTAAAAAATTATCTGTTTATGATGGCTATGGCAGGGACAAAGGTTAGACGTATTTCTTTTGGATACAAAGCGTGGGTTTGATCTTTTGGAAAGCTAGCGCCTCGGCTATACCCAGATGTGGGTCGGTGAGAGAGTGGTTAGAACTCTCACCTACCATGCATGCGGTCCAAAGTTCGATCCCATGCCGATACATACTTGATATCTATAGTCGGCCTGCAAGATTTGGGGTACCGACATCCATGCTAAAAATTCCATATTGGCGCCAAAAATACGGTGTGGAATCAAGCTGTAAATCAAAAATAAAATAAAAATTTTTATGATATTACTTGATACCTTGATATAATTATGAGCAATAAATTGTGCTCAAAACGTCATCAGTAAACATTACTGTATAACACTGTGAGACTTTGTCAAAACAAAATTTACTCATGATATTACTCCCTGTCAAAGGAAGGTGGTGTCACCATAAAAATACAAATATGAGGGAATAACTGAGACAGAGTAGGAAGAAAGTTTCAAGTATGAGCAGTGTCTTATCCAAGGATGAAATTATTGCATGAATACATTGAAAGTAAATAATTCGCTCTAGAGAACGTCATGCGTATCGTGTGCCAAAATAATCTCTCCAATGCAGTTGGTATTTGACCTATTCTGTAGTGCAGCAACAGGTTAGTGTTCCGCCGAATCTGAGATTACCTTTAATGAGTTGAATGTAGATGGATTCTGAGATCATAGGGTAGGTAGAAATTTTACTCAACTGGATGGAGCTGAATTCTCTGAGCTTGATCGTTTTATTATTATTATCCTTGTAGACAACGTCTTCAGCTCATAGGTCAACATGAAGTGAACCTATTTGAATTCGCCATACTTGTTTCCCCTGATTGATTGTATTAAACTGAAGTGTCACTTTACATTTCTCATGTGGCTTATACTCAATTGCTGACAAAACTGTGGGCATTAAAGTAGAGATGCTGAGACTGCGAGGAATACTCCATCATGAAATAAATCAATATGTGAAATGAAATATGAATTGGCACATATCGACAAAGGAGACAATGTCATTACTAATATGCGTAAGTAGTATAACTGCAAAACTCTGTGGAATTGAACGAATTTTAGAATCAGACTGTCTAAAACTGTTAAAAATGAAGATCGAACGAGACAAAAGTGACTCTTAACTGGATATTATTCTGTGACCTTGGCATCTATTTGATATAAATACACTAATGTATAGCCCGGTTGATGACGTCTCTCTTCATTTGAAAATTAATGGTCTTTGATAGAGCTGAGAGGTATTGAAATATTTTTCAGGAAACGCGATCGGTTGAAGAGTACAAAGTATATTTCTTAAAATTTTTGTTTAAGGACACTGTTCCCCCTAGCAATTACACGTAGTCATGTGATGCAGAGAAGAAAATTATTATATATAAACGGAGATATAAGACCTTCATTTTCAATTAATTGTGAGCAGGAACATGATGCTCTCAATGCAAATTATTCTCCTCTCAGTAGTTCCATTGGCTCTAGCTGGTCGAGATGCGTATACCGAGATAATATTCAAAATGCACAATGAATATCGTCAACAGATACTCGAGTGTAAAGTGGATGGACAACCAGCAGCTAAGAGAATGCCTCAACTCGTGAGTCCATTTATGCTGTTTGTCTTCTTCAGTAATTTGTATTCCTAATAAAGTGTTAAGATAATTTAAAACATTGTCGTTTTGTTGATTGAACATTCTTGCACCTTATGCCTAGCTTCGGGATTAATATCTGAGTTGTCATCTCTTCCGAGGTTTGAAGGAGTTTAATTCATTTTCCATCAGATAGATTACCCCGTAGTGTGCACACACTATAGAGGAACATCTATCTCAAAATAGACCTGCAGAAGGATTATGTTTTGCCTTTATAAAACATTGAGAGTATGTGTTCCAGAATAAGTTCAGATAGAAAACGCTGAGTATAAGGGACAAAATTAGCTCCACATGAGCAGGTGGATATACAGTGATATGTAAGCGCTGTTAGCTTACCCTCTGCATTCATTCAAATCACTGGTCACGTGGTCGAAGTGAATTGTACTTCACCTGGCGTAATATTTCTTCCGCTGATTCTTCACTGAAGTATCCAATGATACAGAGGAGTTCTTGAAGGCAATGAAATGTGAATGAAATAAGCAATGCAGGCGTCATAGGATCGACTATGTAGAGTTCGAGGTTTTCCCAATGCATCAATCAGAAGTGATTGCAATCATTCAAGTTCACATTCGCCTGGTTTGTCTTCCTCACCAAATCATTGACACTCTTACAGGCGTTGGTAAGTGAGTCTATGTATCCGCCTCCCCAACACACTCTTCCTCTTCATATCACCTTTCTTCCGTCAATTACAGGTATGTGATTAAGAACTGGCTAGTCAAGCGAAAGCATTATCCGAAACCTGTAGACTTGGTTTCGATGTTCCTACAAGTTCAAAATTGTATCCAGTTTTACAGAATATTGGTGCTTATGCAACAGTTGAACAGTTAGTAATCACTGATATAAAATAAAAGCAACACACACTTATACTTCTATTTTAGAGCTATGAAGGCATGGTTTGGTCAGCACAAATCGTATAATTTTAAAAAAAATTGCTGCAGTTTTCACTGCAGACACTATAAACAAGTAAGTGTTGATTGATGAATTTCACTTCAAGCAACATGTCAATGTTAGTGGAATATTAGTTGGATCTTTTCATTTATTCTCACCTGCCTGTGGTCTATTCCACGCTTGTACCCTCAGCGTATTAGTTACATTGTTGGCTTTTCGACCTATTCTCCTTGGAATCCATAATTCTCTCAGTTTAACAAAGTGTTGTGTGTTATAATATTCTGAATATAATGTGGTATGAATTCATTGAATACATCTTAGTTTTGTTCGTAAAGGTTGACGGGTATTTAAGCAGTCAACAAGTCTGATGGTACGAATAATTATTTTATTATTTTTGTAGCTTGGCTACCGAGTAGAATATCAGGTTTTAGCAGCACATCACCACTTTCTTCTATTCTCTGTTATCCTGTATCTAGCTGACTACATGAATGATCGATCATAAGGATTCATTCTCTGCTCACAAGATCTCCACGACATTACGCTTCCAGATAATACCAGATCGTTGTTTCGCTGTAACTCTTCGATTCACCTAGTTCACTGGTTATCTCTACTGTTTTAAGCTGTGAATAAGAGGAAAACGTGAATGTAGGAGTGGAAACCCTATACCTGGTGAACATTTCTCTGAAAAATCTGCCTAAAATATATAATCTACTTTCTATGAGATTTTATCTATCGTTCCATATTTCAGATGGTTTTCGCCAACACAACAGATATTGGATGTGGAGTGACCAAATGTCCAGGCATTAACAACATTAAAAACGGTTTATTCATAGTGTGTAACTATGGCCCAGCGTAAGTGTTTGACTGATTTGTATTGATAATTCTTTCTGTTATACTGTCAGTCCATTGCTAAATAGCGAGGAGACATACTTGACGAGATTGGTTGAACTAGTAGACGGTTGTCGACCTCTAGTTCTGTTCTGTTTGTAATTGTTGGGAACCTACTCTTAAGATATACTTGTGAGCATCGACAAATTTCTGAGTGTTTGTCTTCAAGGATTTCATTGACTTCAGATGCGATGACAAACTGACTTTATTTAGAGAACTACGTTGAAGCAGCTAATGCATGCAGAGCTACGTCGTCCCACTTTCGAATGGTTCAGCAATACGCTACCAGGGTTCCACCGGTCCGTTCGATATTTGTTGTCTTCGTTGGCTCACACCAGTGCTGGCGAGCAGTACGAAATAGGAACGAGACAAATGACCGGCACTAACTTCTCTCGTTCTCAAGGATTCTCAAACTATAGTCAGTAAGAGATCAATCTTGTCATTCACACTCCATTTTTAAATCATATCGGGAACTACGAAGTAGATAACTTCTACAAAATATTCATTCGCAATCGTATTCACGTTTCCCTTAGCCATTGAAATCCTGTCATCATTGTCTAATCCGGTTATCTGACTAGTCGACTTTAATCTATTCGTGTCACTTCTATTCGCCATCATCTGAACAACTAAACGAGACTAGGTGCACATCACACAGAACACTGTACAATTAGATTCAGTTATGCATATCGTGTATCGCAGTCTTCCAAATAGTTTAAATTTCGTAAATTCTTCCACGCGTGTTTCTCTAAATTTTATTTCTATTCTTGTTTTTTTTTTCACAAACCGATAAACTTTTAGAGCAAATCTTAATGCAAGACCTTACGAAGCGAAGAATATCAATGAAGTCTGTCCAGTGAAAGAAACTGCAGTAGGTGTTCAATCAGAACATGCAGAATGGCATCTAACTATGGGAACCTTGAAATATGACGCCAGAAAGTGTTACTGTTTTAAATAAATGAAAAAAATAATTAACTAATCAGCCAAACAATTAAACTAACTATTTAATTAAACTTCCATATTTTATAAAATACGTGTGTTATTTAACGCATGTACTTCTCAAATTGGCGGCCTCTTTGACACCGGGACTAACTTTCCGTACATCTACATATTAAAATATAAAGAGTACTACATTTTACAGGCTTTTTATTTTTCAGAGGAATCTGTGTGAAACACTAATGTATTCCATTAGAGTGTTGAGTGATTATTAAACTCTTGGAGAAATATAAAAACTGACTTGAAATTGAAGTTTGCGCTAATGATGTCGCCTAGTAGGGCGATAAATCTTCCCAAACAACTATCCAGCTCAAAGAACACAGACACATCAAAACAAATGATTTTATATTTTGTGACAATAATCTGGGTGATTTGAATGTGTTTATTCTGTTGTATATTCGTTGAAGACAGTCCTCAGTCTATGTTTCATGTTACTGGTATGGTTTTTATTACTCCCTTTGGTTACGATTGGAACACACAGCTTCGACAACCCATCTACACTCTCTCCGATTCTCTCAAGTCCACTTTAGCCGTCCTCATGATTGTCCATCAGCTTTTACCCCCTCCTCTTACGATGTCTTTTGTTGTCATTCTCCAAATAACAAGTGATCTCTCTTCTTATTAAGATCCCCCTTCAGCGAATGTCTCGTGTGTGCGACGTCATTCGAGGATCTTCGCAACATGTGTCTAATCCATCTCCAATCATCACTCTGAGTACTTAGTGGGAAATAAGTTCCCAGGGTTTCATCATGAGCTGACATTAGTTAGAGAACCACTGCAAAACCTGGGAGTACTGGACAGCTGTTTCGTCGTAGTTTGGGACTCTTCAGCAGTACGCACCCACCGGGATTCGAACCCAGGACCTTCCGGTTACAAGGCTAGTGAGCTCGTATACCATTAAGCCACTGGGACCCGATCCAATGGTCCTTGAATTCTAACTTCTGCGAATTCACGACATAACGCGACCGCTAGCCAATGTCTTCGACGAGTATTTGTCTGTTGTGGCCTGCTAGAAATGCTTTCCTTGACGCCGGTGACAAGATTTACACCCATGTGGAGGAAATAACTTAACACTGATGTTGAAAATCACGATTTTATTCTTGATGCTAAGGATAGAAGTGTTACAACCTCAAATCATTTTGATGGATGTCTGACTTGCCATTCTGATAACGGCTTTGACATTCTCATCCAAGACAACCAACTGCCTGTACTTGAAATAATACTTCCCAGATAAGTGAAGACAGTACCTTCATCTAGATTTCTTCCATTGATATAAATTGGTGCTTTCGTTGTTAATTGATTATCTTAACCTCCTTCATCTTGAAATCTTGATATTTAACTGTCTAAATCTGCTCTCACCGACTCTCAACGCTTCTATATCACACTTCCTCATTTCTATTGCTAAATAGGTGGCCATCTCAGCCAGCCTCATACATTGCACGTACATTCTACATACTCATTTTCATCTTTGCTTCTGATGAGAGAGAGATGACACATCAGCTGTCTGACAGGCTTCGCGAATGCTGGCGTTCACCGGCCTACTGCCTGATTTCGCCTTTGCGACTCCAAAGAGGAATAATTATGTTAATTACAGTTTTGTATTTTCAATGTTTTATGTGAGTTGACGTTTCCGTGGCAGTTTGATTGATTTTGTGGTGTAGTGTAGCTAGACACAGGCCCAGCCCACCCTGTTCACAGGGGGTTTGGATTAGCTGCATAAGTGACAAACTAGTAAAGCTGGTTTGGTTGGAATTTATCTATACTGTGTTGTAATTTGCTTTTATCCAATCACACAGTTTCCAGGATTGTCAATGAACTACTCAAGTATATCTGCAAAATGGATAGTGCTATTCTTTGACTTTATCTTCTCACAAAAGCCTTCATACACAATCAAACAGTATCCTCAATAATCCTCTGATCTTGCGAATTATAAGTCAAAAGATTTTAAAGTTCACATAAACCGATCTGAATAGAGCCGAAACAACACCTTGTGCTTCCTAGTGGGGTAACATGGTTTATATCGTCGGCTTCTAGTCAGCTGCGTATAACAATAAAGATTAGATAAGTTGATGTACGGAGTAGCTTCAACTCAACTGCAGCTTACTTACTTGGTGTCAGTCAAAAAGCTGCCTCAAAATTAATGAACAGTGAGTGCTCAGAGATTACATTTGTAGAAAGTATACACAGAGAGTTCAAGTTTAAACAAGGCGAAATCGTCGGAAATATCATAAATGTTTGAATATTGTGAAAGAGTAGTCGTGAAATGAACATGCATGAGATGACAATCAACTAGTTTATGAGGCTGCCTATCACTGTGGTGAATTTAAGTTGAATCATAGAACAATGTACAAGTTGAATTAAATTGCAGCTATAGCAACGAGATGGTATTAAAACCGACGATTTCTTGAATGAATAGACGGCTCAGTGAAGACATCTGTTTCCCGGGTGAAAGAAATTCTGACGATTATTTCTTTCTCCAAATCACGTTGCAAATGGTAGACAGCAGACGTCTTGTCGATTTCGAGAATAAGTTCATCCGTAGTTTGTTGCTGATAATTTTGAAGGATTTTAGGCTGTCCACTTAGTGATCCTTATGAAGCAGTGGTCTGCTTATGGTGCTAGTGAAAGCGTTTCTTCCACACAAACCGTTTTGCTTCCTTTCCTCATATTTTACAAGATGGAATTCATGAGAAAACCGATGAAAGTGTGAGATTCTGTAGTAATTTTTTGTACTTGGAATATTAGTATTTCGAGTTGACGGAATTATAAGAATCCAAACAAAACCCAGAGAGGGCAGCAATCAGGAATTTGTATTTAGCGGAATTATTATGCAATTCATATAAGAAACATATCAACAGTCAACAGTAAGTATTTTAAACAATACAGAGATAGAAATTGTCAATCACCACATCCGCCACACCTCGAATATCTCCTTGCGTATTTATAACGATGTCTCGGTTTGCTTGCAAGTAGCTTCGACCTAACTGATTCTGTGATATTATTTTCATCAGTATTATCTGGACTTATTTCTGAATTATCTACAAAATCAGGATTATTAGCGGAATCAATAATATTATAATTGGAACGACCTACTTCATTTATTGTCACTTTGTCCAGGTGTCCGTTATGAACTGAGTGATCTTTGATGTCTAATATCTTCACCACTCGATTTCCCATTTTTTGTAGTATAATTCCAACAGAAGGTCTATAGTTATTATCTTTGTAATAATGTACATTAGAAGTCGTGGACATCAGATGCTTTTTGAGAATTCGAGATTTGAAAAGTTTTGCAGGACTTTCACGGGTACTTGTATGCTCTGCATTCGACAGACGCAGTCTATGCATATGCAGTAATTCCTCAATTTTAATCAGTTGCTCTCTCATCTCATTCAGGTCTTTTCGTGTTTTCGACAGTTCACATTGTAACTCAGCTACCTCATTTTTGAAAACAGTTGACACTTGAGTTGCCGAACTTGTAGTGGAGGTTTTCATCGGATTAGCTTGAGTATTTTGAAAGGTTGAAAGACACATTGACTCCATTTTACTAGACAGCTTGGGAGAATTATAAGAATGTTGAGCAACATAAGTATTCGAACTTCTGCAAACCGTCTTGATGTGTCCAACTTTACCACATTTGTGACACTTAGCACCCCGAAAACGGCAAGTGCTTCGTAGATGTAACTTTCCACAGGAAAAACACGGTTTAATGTTTTTGATCTCTCGCTGCATTCTATTACCTGTGGACGGCAGTTTGGATTGCTTTCCATTACCACTTGTATTTTCGACTTTAGAAAGCATAACATCAGATACTGACGTAGTGGGAGCAGAGTATTCCTGTTGACATCTTCATATGTAATACATACATCTTTAGCAGTTTGAAAAGTACAAGAAGGAATCTGAATTAACTCTTTCTCTAACTTAGGAATATTGATTCCAGCAATTAGACGATCACGTAGTTGAGTGTGCAGCTGATCTCCAAAATTACACTTTGAAGCTTGTATTTGGAGTTGTAGAATAAAGTCTCGAATCTTCTGGTTGGGAGAACGTACCAGTTTGTTGAACTGAGCCCTCTCTCTGGTCTCAAAAGTAGTTACATGGAAGTGATCTATAAGAAGTTCACGGAGCTTAGCATATGGCATAGAAATGGGTTTATCTGGAAACGCCAGATTCTTCACTAGGCTATATGCATCAAGCCCAATAGCAGTGATGAAATGAGCAGGTATTTTGTCATCCCGAACATTCTTTGAAATGCACCACGCATCGAAGCATTCCAAATAATCAGCAATCTCCCGCGGAGACCATTAATGGGGAATTTTCCCAGGTTACTTAGCTCCATCGCGACGCCAATTTGTAGTAATTTATTGTACTTGGAATATTAGTATTTCGAGATGACCGAATTACACGAATCCAAACAAAACACAGAGAGGGCAGAATCAGGAATTTGTATTTAGCGGAATTATTATGCAATTCATATAAGAAACATATCAACAGTCAACAGTAAGTATTTTAAACAATACAGAGATAGAAATTGTCAATAACCACAGATTCCTTGAAAATAAAACTACAAGTTCCATAAAGGTTTATCCAATATTCTAAATGTATAAAATATTCGAGAAATAAATTGTTGGTAATCCCATATTTCTGCTGAAATACGAAACAAATCCAGGTGTACGTTTAGTAGGTCACAGCAATACCTCCTTACGTCTTTATTGTTCCAGTTGGTGCGGTGAGGTTGCTTGATTCACTTCCAGCTTATCAACCTTGACTAAATTACTAACAGCAAGTAAAGTGGAGAATATATCCGAGGAATTCGGACTAACCGCATGTTCGGAGAGGAAGCTACAATTGTGCTTACATTCATTTCTGTCTAGATACCCACCCCTCGTTTTGATGATAACGTTTAAGACATCTCGTGTTGATTCATCACTACCCTCAAAACTCAAGATTCTACACAAGAATTAGGTTTTACTTAACAAACCACATTCAGCATTGACGACTTTGTAGAAATGTACTATTAAAAATAAGGCCATTAATAGACATGAAACTCTTACCTGATAAAACTGATGAATACAAGTTTCACAGAGCTCACTTATGTATGAAACTTTGAGAAAGTACACAAAACTCTCACAAAACATATTGGTGATATTCCCATACTTCATCTTGAGATGTGAACCAAAGCAACCTGTACTTCGAGTAAGGTGAAACGGTTTCACAATTCAGGTTTTTTGAGAATAACCCCCTCTCATCCTCGCCTGTTCCATGTGATTCTGTTCTCATGCATAATATCTGCATAATTTTTCAGTATGATGAATGCGTTCTCCCAATTTGTACAAACTTTCCTTCATTCTCAACATAATGTTTTGAGAGTGAAGACTGTCTTAATATTTCTGCATACACCTAATCCGCCTGAAAAATTCCAATATGTTTGAATGAAGCACTAGTGATAATTTCACCAGGATATTATCAATCGATTGTTCAGTATCTGTCCAGTTCTGCTTAACTGGCAGCAAACTGAGCAATAAAAAAATTACATTTTGAGCGATTTCAGCGTCACCTTGAAAGTTCATCCAACTAGATGATAGTCTTAGCCCATATCTGCTCACCTTGTCGGGATTACATTCAGCAGACCGGCTGTATCTCTACTTCCTTGAGCAACAATGAGGTGAAATTTATCTGGTTTGTGGTGTGTTCATCGGGCGAAATCTATGTTGCTTTAAGTATATCCTTGTGTTCACACACGCCGTCCCAACCACCTAATCATTAGAATCGCAGAAATCTTAGAATAATTATCCAGTCTCATTCACTTCACCAAGTCAGAGATTCTGGACCCGTGATGAATTCTCTGCCTGTATAATCTGCTTCCAGTTCGACTGGCATACATATTGCTCACGATGATTTTGATGTCAACATTTGGAATGTTGTCCCTTAATGTTTGTAGTTGTCTGTAGAAATCTTTCTTATTCTGTTGTTCAGAGTTGTTTGAAGGTTCGTAGCATTCTATATTTACAACTTTTCTGCCTTCTCTCTGAGTTCAATCTGGCTCTTGATTGTCGTCAGGGTGACCAGACCATTTTACTGAATAACCAGTTGACAACTTACCTTCATTCTGAATGCTTTCGCAGATGCTTTTCGCAGCACTTCCATGCCATATCTTTGCACTTATTCGGCTACACAGGCAGGCTTTCCTGTCTCGTACATTGCACACACATTCCACGTCCACATTGCGATTCTTGATTTCATTGAGAGAGAAGACATATTGGCTGGCTGACTGGCATACGAAAGTCTGGCGTTCACTGACAAACCCTCCATGGCAATCGGCAAATCCGATTTCAACGAACAATAAGGCTGCATTTTGAACTGGTATCTAAAGTTTCCATAGATTTAGTGATGTCGAGTCGCCAGCCACACGCCAAAGCCTCCAGAACTCGGACAGGTTAAAAAAATATAGAGCTAGATAACTTGACGATGTTTGGCCATGGCTCTAGGCGAATTATAGTTTGGACTTGATTACACTTAAATCAAGTCTGAGTAAAGGAGAATTTGTGCATATCTCTGCGTACACAAATTTTGAATCTGTACCCATCCACTAGAACGTCAGGTAGAACACATATCAGTACTATTTGATTTCCGGCAGAGATTGCGGCAGAGAATATTTTATTTAAGCCGTGTGGCAATTTCTGAACTACATACACCTCAGAGAGTTCTGTACATTTGATATAATCTCTCCAGAAGAAAGATGTTATTAGTATTTATCTTATTAGATACCTGCCACAATTTTGATTGTATCAGACCAATAATTTCCCATGTTTGTATTCTACCCAACGCTTTACCGCCTCCTTCACAATAAATGAGTTATTTAACTGGAACTCCTGAACATTTCTTATTAATATGTGTGTGTCTCTCCTTGTGATAATCATGTTGAACCTTTCTTCAAGCATGACAAGATAATATGTATGCATCTACACGCTGCTGCTGTATTTCATCACAACATTGTATCCTCCTTAGACAAAGGGGCCAAGTATGTCCGTTTTACGTTCCTTGATTATACATCTGCTTTCGACTTTTCACCTAGAGGCCTTTTGTTAAACAAGCTTAGCCTTACACAAACTGACTCCTGGGCTATCAACTGGCTGCACACTTACTTCTTCAATAGGATGCAGTACACGGCATATAATGGTGTAGTTTCTTCTCCTTTGCTTACTGAAGCTGGTGTTCCTCAGGGTGCTGTTCTCTCTCCATTTCTCTTTTCCTTCTTCTTGCATGACTTACCCCTTTCAGATGAAATCAACTTCGTCAAATATGCAGATGACCTGACTGTTTCGCTTCCCGTTAAGTCTCAATCAGACTGTTTCAAATTAAATAGCTTCCTGTCGGACATCAGTCAGTGGTATAAACTAAATGGCCTAACGCTGAATCCCTCAAAATGCCAGACTATTGACTTCTCCTTTAGGCATAAACGAGATCTACAAACACTAGTAAGCACCCATGAATCCTGTAGCATTGATGGGACTAAAATTGAAACCAAGTCTAATGCAAAATACCTTGGATTAGTTCTATCTTCCGGCCTTACTTGGTCATCTCATATCCTAACGACTTCTAAGAAAGTGTTTCGTCTAACCTACTACATTAAGAAACTCAGATTAACTGGAATCAGTCAACCCCTGCTTTCACAATTTGTCAACTCTCGTATCCTACCTATTCTACTTTACTGCTCTACATTAGGCTTTCCTGGGTTACTGAAAAATGACTATACCATTCTGAGAACGATGTTGAAGGTAGTTAGTAGGACCAGTGGTGTAAAACTCAGTCAGCTCGCCACTACATTAGTTGATAAGCATCTGAATAGATGCGAAAAATGGTCTAAACCATACTCTCTGACCCCCAACACTCCCTCTATTCCCAACTCCCCCATGTATCTCATCAGGTAGAACCAGAAATCAGTACAAAATAATATATGCTCGTACAACCAAGTGTAGGAACTCAACGGTACCATACACGGCCAGCCCGTGTTCTAAGTGACAGAGACAATGTTGAGCGTGAAACCTATGACTTGCTTTGTTGTTATTAACATAATTTTGGCTCATTTATTTATCCCTTATACTCTATTATTTGTACTCCATAGTGAACAACCTTCTTATGCATACTAAGCTACTTAAAATTATTATCATTGGCTTACAATTTTATTCTTTATTCTATTCCTTATTTTGTGTATCTACTGGTCCCGACTATATTATCGCTATGAGTATCACCAAATTGTCCTGTCATTACCCATCATGTGATATTAATTTTTGTGGTTGTTCTTTGTTCAGAACTATTTAACTGACAATCTTGTTTGTGAACGCCACTATCACCATCTTAAAAATGTTGTATTATGCATGATTACTCACACTACCACAACAAACACTGCACTAGTGCTGACAATAAAAATAAAAACCCTGAAATGTTTATTTTATGATTGTTTAGTGTAGTTCAGTCAAATTAACTGATCATCTTGGCTGTAAACATTCTTAATATTCGTTCATAACTTCTTGTGTGATTATAGCTGTTACTGTTCACCACGCATACACATATCATAGCTTTCACTACCAAATACTGAAATAATATTCATTATTGGTGTTAATCTTCCTTTCTATTTGATATTATTATTTGCATTTTTTGTTAATTTTGTGTTTCTTTTTGTTGTTGTTGTTTATTTTATATTTATTTTTTTGTAATACTTCTTTTAAATGTGCGATGAAATTAGATGGAATATTGTAGATATGTGCTGAAAATTCCACACTGTACCACTAGTACTGTTTCTGTAATAAAAGCGAAATTATCATTGTTATTATTACTAGTAGTAGTAGTAGTATGTTAGCAGCTAAAGAGTGAGAATCCGACAATGAAATGCATGAATGATAACCTTATATAATTGTGCACAAACATTAGGTGTTTCAGCTTTGTTTGAAAAGCTGAGATATTTACAGACGGACTAGATGCATTTATCTCAGCTCCAGATTCCTTTTGGTGCACCGTAGAAGTTGCACCACATACAGATGACACTCTATACAGTACAGTGAATACGAAGTGACATGAAAAAGTGACCTCGAAATCAGTGACAGCGAAAACTCCTTGAAATCATTAGAGTTCCTCGATGTACATATATATCACAGTTTTTATTTCCAAGAATTTGTGAAGTCTATACTGGGAAGCAGAAATGGACAACAGAACAGGCGCTTTCCGATCACCAAGTACATCCAAACTAGACACAGAAGTACTCACTATTCCAATGCAACACATAACGTTTCACATAGACGCTTAACAAGCAGAGAAAACCCGGTGAATTTAAACACCAGTATATTTGAAAAATGTGCAAGTATTCGGTTACACAGATTTCATAATGTATATCAGTAATTATAATTAATTCCTTCTTGGTTTATTTCTGTTGTTATATTTCTTAGTGCTCGTAGTAGGCCGCCGCTGTGCATGCTTTGGTTGAACAGCTACTCTAGTCGTTTTCATTGGACATACTTCATCGATATTCTTCGCTTCATATGGTCTTACAATACCTCTTAATCTAAAATTTTATTCGTTTTCAAGAACACAAGAACAAAAATCGAAATTAAGAGAACGTGAATTGAAACAGTTAAAAAATTAAAACTATTTGGAAGACTGCAGAACACATTACGCCGCATACTTGAATCTAATTATACTGTGTTGTTTTTGCGCCGTGTGCCTAGTCTCGTTCATTTATTCAAACAATGACTGACTAAAGTGACACAAATGTATTAAACTTCACTATTCACATGATCACAGTAGACAATGGAAACGGCCAAGGGATATTCCAACACAATGACAAGTGAATATTTTGTAGAAGTAAGCTACTTTTTCAAAGGATTATCCATGAGAAGAACAGTAGAACTGCACTACTGTAGTCCACCGACTGAAGTCAGTGAAATCACCATAGACAAGTACTTTAGAGTTTTTCAGTGTTCATGTGTGTATCTTTAGAGTTGGCTTCAACAATTATAAACACAACTAGACGTCTAACACATTCTACGAGTTGAAACATCCTCATAAGCTATGACCTCTAACTACTTAGCAATCAATTGAATACTTCAAAGTTTAACGAAACAATTGTCAATACAAATCATATGAAGAATTACCCTGGACCATAATTACAAACTATGGCCAAGATGTAGTAGTGTTCACCGGATGGACATTTGTAGGCTGCACATCCGATATGTGTAGTGTTGGCGGAAACCATCTGTTTAACAAAATAATAAATTAAGAGAAATTCGGTAAGATAAAGAATATTTTACGGTCAGAGATTTAACGCAAATGAACCCACGAAAATGTCGATAAACACTTTCTATCTCAAATCAGGTGTCTCTATTGATTGGATTTGTATTCTGATTGAAGAAAAAAAGGGTTGCTTGCACCATGGCCACGCTTTCCTCTTTTTCAGCTCTTACGACTAGATGGTGAACTAATCGACTAATTGACTAGGTGAGGTTAAGTCCTGGGAGGAATTCCCGCTGGGAAACGATGTGTTGATTTTAAGAAGGTAGGTGAGGATGGCGTGTGGGATCGTTTGAGATGTGGATGTAAGCTTCTAGACGGTGGTGGAGATGGCGAAAGAAGGAATACAGATAATACACTAAATTGACTGTGAGCTGTTAGAACCCGATATTCGACTAGTAACCCAAAAGAACAATCATTCATTCTATTGAAGTTGTTGCATGCTTGAACAATTGTCAGTTTGTGCAAACAATACTATGATGAGTTCAATGAATTCACCTTAAATTTTGTTAAGAACATCATCACGGACAACACCTTGTCATACTGAGTGGAATTTGAACTTTAGCGAGATTTGATAGATAGGCTCCTAACATTATTGATTTTTTAGGGCAATAGACTTTAGTCTAGTTGATATTTAACATCAAGCCGTACACAGCACTTGAAGATATTGTACGTAGGCAAAGCAACATGTAATAAACCCCTTTCAAAGTTCTGTAAATTCGACAGATCCTTTCTAGAATGAAGTTAACATTATTGTTATTGTTATCACTAATTGCATGACAGGACACTTGTTCATATGGTTAATTGGCCTCAAATAACAATCACTACCAATAATGTCATGCCTAAAATTTAGTTATGAATAGAAACTTACCTTCAAGTACTGATCGCATCGCAATAGGCATTTATTCTCCTTAAAATTATACGAAATATGTTGACTAAACCATCTTTTCATAACACTGAAATAAATGAGATATTATGATGGTGATGCTCTAGCTTACTCTTCGACACTTCCACAACTAGCAATATTCTGTTCGACTGACTTAAATCTTCTGCTTTTAGGATAGTTGCCATAAAATGTACAAGATTTTGCTTGTGCTTCCGCTTGACTAGCCAGTTCCTCATCCCATATCTATAACAGATTAAGAAAGATAGAGAAGGAAAGAAGTGTGTTCGTTAAGTCAGTATACACATATTCATTGGAACGTTTAGGACTACAAGTGTACTGCTCAGATAGAAAAAGAAGGCGAATGTAAACGTGAATCAATTCCATGATGCCTGCATTACTTAAAGCATACACATTTCTTGCCTCGGAAATTAATTTTTTATACGAATCTGTAATATAACGAGGACTCATTAGAAGAATTTCGGAAATGACACCTGTTCTAGTCAGCTGAACTCCACCTTGAGTCTCTCACACAACCAGTGATTCGCATGAATGTGAACGATACCTTTCGAGTGCTAATCTTACTATTGTGTAACTAATAATTCATCTGTTCGTGTGGAGGGAGATACATCTTTCGGTTAGTCTCAGCGTTTGCTACCTGAACGTATTCTCGAACACACACTCTTATGGTTTTATTCAAACCTCCAGAGGGATGACAATTCACACATTTATGTATAAGTTCTGCATAGAGAAAAAGTTTGTTGAATCACTGAAACTACAGTGGTTTTAAATTATCTTAACACATTTTAAACAATACAAATCATTAAGGAGAACAAACAACACGAAATGGACTCACGAGTTGAGGCATTCTCTTAGGTGCTGGTTGTCCGTCCACTTTACACTCAAGCAACTGTTGACGATATTCATTGTGCATTTTGAATATTTTCTCTGTATACGCATCTCGACCAGCCAGAGCCAGTGGAACTACTGAGAGAAGAATAAATTCCATTGAGAGCATCATATTCCTGCTCAAAATTACTTGAAAATGGAGGTCTTATATCTCCGTTTATATATATTAACTTTCTTTGCAGCATCACATGACTATGTGTAATTGTGGATGGGAAAAACAGCGTTCTTAGACAAAAATAATAAAATGGATGTGTATACTTCAATCACAGGGGTTTACTGAAAACAATGTATCAAGTTTAATAACTTCTCAGTAGTATGAAAGATCATTCACTTGCAAATGGACAGTGTTATGAATAGATGGTGAACATTTACTGAGTATGCTTGAATCGAATTCATTTGTATGTGTTCTGGAACATATGAAAATATACTTGAAAGGCGTTTCTTCCATGTCTCCAGTAAATGCGGTTTCAAGAACTCTCGTATATGCTTCACATTGATTAAAGCATTGATATTAATTGTTGTTGGACTCGGGTCATTAATATCCAAAGACACAGAAGTAGTGGATGCGATACAGGTTATTAATGATGTATCACGTTTAATAATAGTATGCCTAATAATGGCCTTACTTTTAATAGTACATTTCTACAAAGTACTCAATACTGAATGTGGTTTGTTGAGTGGATGCGATACAGGTTATTAATAATGTATCACGTTTAATAATAGTATGCCTAATAATGGCCTTATTTTTAATAGTACATTTCTACAAAGTACTCAATACTGAATGTGGTTTGTTGAGTAAAACATAGACTTTGTGAAGAATCTTGAGTGTGAACAGTTTGGCAGACTGTGTCACCATTCTCACCGAATAACAAAGATATCTCTAACCCTCAATCGTCAGAATGAAAGACACATTCCTACACAGAAATGAGCATACTTTCACTGGTATACTATTATTCCAAACTCACGTTGTGCGCATTTCCGCTGAACATAGACAATACTGCGTTGATGAAGATTACTGGCCAACTAACAGCAAAACAACTAGCGTCAATGACTATTTGATGAGAATATGTGAAAGAGTCCAATTCATCCACTTACCGGGGTAGAATCATTTTAGACACATGTACAATTGATGAAGGTGGCAAATGCAGATTCGCATTGGATACACGGATAATCATCAATCTTGAGTCGAATCGGAAATCCTCTCTCAGAAATCAGAACGAAATTCAGATTTTCAACACATATGTGTGAAATTAGTCAATTTCTTTTCTTATATGGATTGGACATATCGTCAGGTGGTCACAGAAAGCATTTCCAACATGCCACTGCAGACGTTTATCAGTGGTTAGGATTCTCGACGGCCATGCACATGGTCCGGAGTTCGAGCCCACACCGGCGCACACCAGATATCTATGGTCGGCCTGCGAAATTTGGGCTACCGATATCCACGCTGAAAATTCCATACTTGTACCAAAACTACAGTGTGGAATCAAGCTGTTACCAAAAATAAAGAAAATAAAAATAAATAAAAACTATATTCGTTTGTTTCATACTGCTGATCGAATGGTCAAAATGAATTAGCAATAGGAACAGAGTAAGCAGGATCTTCGTCAATTTTGTAAGGAACAGCCTGATAGCTTTCAGGCAGTTAAAATGACTTAACTGGAAAGTAGCTTGAACATCCGCATTGACTCATATGAAAAAGAGAAGACGTTCAGTGAAGAGACTCTTTTCGACGACGAATTCATTCACATAGCTGTACAATCGCATTTATATTTAATTATTTCTGTTTGTGTGTGTGTGAGTACATGAGGTTTGTCAAGTTTAGATAATTGATCAGGTAATAAAAGAATGATCTAATATAGAAACAAGGTTAATTAGACAGCAACTTAAGTAAGATTGAGTTATTTAGTAAGTTAGTTGACGTAATATAATTGACTGAAATGTTTCAATAACTTCTCGTCTTCAGGTTCTCACAATTATAAAATATAATATTTTTTGTCGTTACAATAAAGGCCAGTGATGCAGCGAATACATTTCTACCGAAGAATAACAGATTAGTTATGGGGTGTCAAAATGAAGTCATATTTTTGTGACAAACTTTCTAGGCTGAAAACGATTAGAAAATATTGTAAAACGGGAGACAATGATGGTGATTAATCATAATAGAGTGTGAGGTAGGAAAATTGACAAGTCACTTTAAGTTTATCCAAAGTGTCAGGTGAGTGGCTAATACAAAGTGGTCTGAGTTAAACAAGAGATAGTAAGTCTGCAATGAGAGGTTCATATTGAGATAACGAATATGTTAAATGAAACAGGTGAAGGCACATTTTAAGAAAACAGATAATATCACTAATAACAAGTCCGTATAAATGAAAAATTTGATAGTATTGAGGGAATGTTTGGATAAAGGTCATCAAATATGACGAATGATAATAATAATTGTAATAATAAGCAAATTAAAAAAAACCAAAAGGGTTAAGATTGACTTGTTCAGATTGACTTTCAATTCATAATATAGGGAAATATTTCACACTATAAAATGCTTCAACTTAGGTCGGGGTAGCAAAAGACGTACTTGTAGGCAGAGATTAAGTAGAAGTTAGGTAGATAATAATGTCATTTAAATTAGAGCTGAAGTTGAGTAATTAATTTGGATGACGTAACATAAATGACTAGAAATTGAGCGTTGATCAAGTCAGTAACAGTGGTAGTGAGTATGTCGGCCGTACCCAGCTTTCGCTTTCCAAGCGTATCACCGAACACTTACCAACATGGTTTTACAAAAAAGAAAAATGATGTCCCCACAGCTCCATCTTAAAACATCTGATAGAATCCGGACACCAAGCTGCAGCGTGAACAAACTTCAAAGTCGTCTACAGGGAAAGAAGTAGTCTTACTAAAGGTGTACGAATCAGACTTGCTCAAACTACAAAAGCAATGATGATTCACTTGCTAAGCCCTGAACTCTGTATACAGAAGAAGTTCGTTCAATCACTACACTTGAAATGTACTTAATCTATCTTATTACCCGACAAGTAAATTCTCCCTAATCCTTTTTTTTCTGTCTCTTCATTGGTATTATTTTATCTTCTCAATTTTATTATTTTGCATTTTCAACTTTCTTGTTCTCTACCCCCACCCAATTTAATTTCTACACCTCACTTACACTGTTACTGACTTGACCAACACTCAATTTCTTGTCATTTATGTTACGTCATCCAACTTCATTGCTCCATATCAGTTCTAATTTAAATGGCATTATTATCTACCCCACTTCTACTTAGTCTCTACATGAAATTAACTCTGTTGCTACCCCGACCTAAGTTAAAGCATTTTAGTTAATTATTTTACTTCATCTAACTTACTAACTCAATCTTACTTTAGTTGCTGTCTAATTAACCTTGTTTCTATATTAGATCATTCTTTTATTACCTGATCAATTATCTAAACTTGACAAACCTCATGTACTCACACACACACACACAAATAATTGTATATAAATGCGATTGTGAATGAATTCGTCGTCGAAAAGTGTCTCTTCGCTGAACATCTTCTCTTTTTCGTATTAATTAGAAAGGCTTGAATGTGTCAGAATCTGACTATACAGGTATTTGTAAGTCTCAGCTAGTAATTAGTAGAGACGTCGTCTTAGGATACATAAGTTTTGCCGATGACTGCTTCAACGACTTCATAAGCGAAATACACAACTTTCATAGACACCTTCATCGAAGTCACATCGATTACTTTTGTTCGTCTAGCGATTCATGACCTAATTCTCCCAACCATAAGGAGTACTTCAGATGGCGTGCACCATATACCAGGGTTGTTGAAATAATAGTCAATACAGATATAGAAGAAACACCGCTTAATAACTACATTTCATTTGTTGAAGAAGATATGCATGTGAATTAGATTCTACGTCATCAAAAATCTAACATACTCCCCATATACATCATATATTCATATCACCTGACATTTGACGAATAAATGCCATTCCATGCAATTGAACCGTTATCAAACGTGATACATTTTATCTTATCTTTGATTACAGCTTGATTCCACACTGTATTTTTGGTACAAGTATGGAATTTTCAGCATGGATATCGGTAGCCTAAATTTTGCAGGCCGACCATAGATATCAGGTGTGCAGTGAACAGTGAACACAATTGATTTAGGCGTACACAGACTATTTATTATTATTTTTCTCTAAGGACACTGTTTTCCTCGCAACAGTTATACATAGTCATATGATGCTGAGAAGAAAATTATTATATATAAACGGAGATATAAGACCTCCATTTTCAAGTAATTTTGAGCAGGAATATGATCCTCTCAATGGAATTTATTCTTCTCTCAGTAGTTCCACTGGCTCTTGTTGGCCGAGATGCATATATCGAGAAAATATTCAAAATGCACAATGAATATCGTCAACAGTTGCTTGAGTGTAAAGTGGACGGACAACCAGCACCTAAGAGAATGCCTCAACTCGTGAGTCCATTTCGTGTTGTTTGTTCTCCTTAATGATTTGTATTGTTTAAAATGTGTTAAGATAATTTAAAACCACTGTGGTTTCAGTGATTGAACAAACGTCTTCTGTACGCAGAAATGATAGGATAAGAATTAGCAACTCTATACATGTTTGGAGAATTTTGACACTTACTGCTCTTGATAGATTCCCGCGTAGTGTTCACGCACTGCAGACGATTATGTTTTCCAGGATAGAGCTGTAAGACGATCCTTTTTCGTATTTAAAATAACGCTTAGCATAGCTAACATACTCCACTTCACATAACTAGATGAAATAATATACACAGATTGGTAATTTCACCATTCGAAGCTTAGCATTCACATTCAAATGGATCACTGGCTACTTTGAGGAAGTGAGTCGGATATCAGCTGACCAGAACAGGCGATTTCTCAGAATTTCCACTTACATATTCTCACTGTATTGTAGATTCACATAAAGAAGAAAATTTTGAGTCAAAATAGATGTATGGTTTAAGTGATGTAGGCGTTTTAGGATTG